AAGGATATGCGTTTTGGATATGTATGCTTTATGTCTGGAGTTCAAAAGAATGTGAATAGGCCATGGGAATTTTATTTTTTTGTTGACCTGACAGTGTATTGTAGGTACATTTTTGAAAAAATTGCTATACCCGCCCATATTATTTTCTGGAGACATAATAAACCTCAACCATCAAAAGTTGTCACAATCACAGATGTTGGCCAGATCGTTTTGTAGTAGGATCTCATAGGCTCAAAGAATAATACACAAGATATGACACCAAATTGGAAAATTTCAAAAAAAAGTGACCACCTTTCAAAATGTTCCTTATACAAAAGGCCGCGCCTGGAGAGCCTTAAAATTTAAGGCTCTCTAGCCAAATGGGTTACCAATATGCTAAAGAGCCTTAAATTTTAAGGTTCTTTAGCATTTGGGCTAAAGAGCCTTAAATTTTAAGGCTCTTTAGCATTTTGATAGCCAATTCTGCTAGAGAGCCTTAAAGGAATTCCAGGCGACAGAAATGACGAAATATTGCTTCTGCCGGACAAGATCAAACGACTTGGACATATTCTATACCCAACCTATTTTGTAATTTAACAATCAGCACAAATATACATACCATATTAGCAGATATCGGACAAATTCAAAAAGAAATATGTTTTGATCGATAAAATCACTGATTATTAAACCGGAAGTGTCTTCTCTGAGGTCCGCGAAGAAGATGAAGAAGAAAATATAAAGATTTCAGGCAATTCAATTTTGCCGTCGATTTAATTTTAAATGGTTCTAAATAATCTTCGAATGCTTACTTTGACTTCTATTAGTGCTGTTTTGACTTCCCCACTTCATAAAAAAACATTATCACTTTTTGCTCGACTCATAAATTTACTTCCGGTCTACCGAGAGAAATAAAAGTTCTTAGAACCTTTTCAATCCTCAGTCTAAATTCGGCTTTTTAAAGGTTCAAACATCGACTTTAAAGTTCATGTATATATCGAAAATATTTGTCTCTGGTTCACCAGAGAGGACCGACAGGCAACCACGTATATAGCCAGAAAAATGTTATTTTTACCATTTTATCCACTATAAATCACAACGTCCGTTTAGTAAAGATTTTGACGTATAGACATTTATTGATGGATTGGAGGCTAGGATAAAAATGCTTTTGTGTTGCATAAGCCGTTGTTTTCCTCGGCAGTTCATCTCTCAGTGTACTGATTTTCTTTGTGCTCTTTCATGTGCTTAAATTCTCACTTGGAGGAAGACGTTTGCAAAAATATCTCGTCACGTGAAAAATTCTAAAAAACAGCATTGAAATCTAATGGGCAATAGATTTGGAAGTGTATTCTGTGATGTCCCTGGGCTGATGTCCCTGCATTCACGATAAACTGCGTCATGATGTGCTGTATCTAGAAGAAACAAGATCCTTTTCATAGATATATGCATAGGCCCTTCGGAGGAAGGTGTGCGTACTGTGGGAGTCACATTTATTGATGAAATGATTCATACAATTGAAGGACTTTTGAGCGGAAGTTTTTGCAAAAAGTTGTGAAAAAGTATCTTGTCACATGAAAAATCTTATAAACAGCATTGAAATCGTACAGGCAATGGATTTTGAAGTGTATCCTGTGATGTCCCCAGGCTAATGTCCCAGCATTCAAGATAAACTGCGTCAAGATGTGCTGTATCTAGAATAAACAAGATCCTTTTTCATCCCCAGGTCTTCATCATCCTTTTTGCCATCTTAAAATGAGATTCCCTGTATTCTCTAAGCTTGTGACTATAGCAAAGCCAATACAAGTGATTAATTTCATTAAACATTGATGATTGAGCGATGGAGCAAGCCCGGGAGCAAGCCCAAGAATTCTAGAAAAAATTGTGTACATAATTGCCGGACCTCAGAGAACAAACTTCCGGCTTGTTATTCATAATAAAAAAGTGCTCCATCGGGGAATCGAACCCGCGCCGGAGAACCGAAAGGCGAGCTCCCTAACCACTATACAAGAGTGTTTTTTCATGATAGGCATAAATTTTTGCAACTTTATAGTGATATACATGTGTGAAATTTTTAAGTGGCATTCTGGGTTGAAAAACTTTCGAGAGTGTTGTTTTATTGTTTAGATGACGAAAACTTCAATAAAAAACAATATAAACACGGATTATAAACACAAAGGCTCTCTAGCCAAAACACTATGTTCACAGCTAAATAGCCTTAAATTTTAAGGCTCTTTAGCATTTTGGCTAAAGAGCCTTAAATTTTAAGGTACTCCAGACACTTCGTATACAAAATGGTACCTGCTTCCCCGTGACAGATTTTGCACTTATATTATAGCTGAGATCTTCATCTTTCCATTTCTACTTGTTTTGTTCGAGTTATGGTTGCAGTTATCTGACTTTAAATACGGCGAATATTTTTCACGAGATCCGGACTCTTGTGTGTCCAAATAACATTGTACTGATGACGTCACATTTCTGGAACCATGGGAGCACCATTCAGATTTGGCCTGACAAGAGTCCGGCGATAAAATATCACTGTTTTGGCCTCTTATCAACGCAGTATTGCTTAAATAACGATCATTGATGATAAAAAAGTTAAAGAATAACAAGACGCTTCGAATGAGGTATGATTTGTCTCATATTTTTCAGAAATGGCTCCACAATCGTCATTTTAAAATTTGAAATTTTCTGAGGTGTCTCATCTTGAGGAATATTTATTGAGCTACTGATTCTACTACAAAAGAATCTAGCCGGGATCTATGGTCACAATGACCTAAATTCTAAGTTTCCTGTCTCAAACTCTCCCAAGCAGTAGAAAAATAATTCCCATTCACTTTAAGTAGCACAATAAATGAATCCAAAGCTTCATACCTGCAAATGATGGATAAATTCCTACCAAATCGAATGATTGTTTTCATGAATCGCCATGTTTGTGATCCAAGGAGGATTGACTCCCAGAATGCAACATCAGTTAACCTTATTTACTCGTGACAGAATTTCAAAATTGCGGAATAGCATTTTGAAAGCTGGCACGTGTCATGTTGCATTCTGGGAGCCAATCCTCCTTGCAGCGTAATCGGGCCCCAAAATCACCTCAACATTTGAAGAGTTGGCATTAACATGTGAATATCCACTTCAAATTTTTAAGTTCCTATTTGTCATTATGGACACAAATTCCACTATATTTGGACTAATTAGGACGGAGAAAATAGAGCACTGAATACACTGAGGTAAGAATTCATTACATGTGCGACAGTATCTATTTTTCATAGCTATAGTAATTCTTTATGTTCCCCACTGTATAGCATTTTTTTCTGTAAAGAATAACCTTAAGATCATGAGGGAAGCCACAATTCTTATGTAAATTCACTTCTGGAAGGAATAAATATAACCCTTTGTATCATGAATTATTATTTATATTCATTTTTACCTTAATATCACACATCATTTGTTTTTCATATTGAACTACATGTAATCCATGAGGGTTTCAAGAACCACGAGTAAACCTAGGCCAACCTAGCTGTCTATTATCTTACAGACTGACCAGAAGTCTGACATCATGTAGATCTCTCATGAGTGATGTAGATTATGAAATACTTAGCTGCTATACATGTACATGTAGCGTGAAGAGGAGGAGGGTTTGTAGAAAAAACTGGGTACCAGGTTGTAAATCCTCCATGCTGGGTTCAAACTTGGTACCCGGTACCCGGTCGAAAAAACCGGGTACCCAAAAAAACGAAAAATACGAATATATAACATAATTAGATCATTAGAAAACGTGTAAGATTTGTTTTGAATTTACAAAAATGTATGTAACTTCCTTCAAAATTGAGCTAGAAGCTTCAAATAAAAAGCATTTTAAGGCTCTTTTCTTCCTCTATCATCATAGTCATATTTCCATTGGTTATGGGAGGGGGAATGTGATCGCACCATCGCACCCCCTCCTGGCTACGCCTATGACATTGTAAGACGTAACAATTCACACTTCAGTGGACGTTTCGTCGAAAATTGGGATAACTTAAATTGTGATTAATAATCAAAATCTTACACCTTGCATCATGTAAATTAACACACGTCACTTCTCTGCTAAAGTAACAATAGCTATTTACAGATTTAAATCATAATCAAAACAATTCACGTACCAACATACGAACTATTGAAAATAGAGTAAGATTGATTTATCATGCTTTTCAAATCGTCTTACAATGTTATAGGCGTAGCCAGGAGGGGATTTGATGGGGCGATCGCACCCCCCCCCCATAACCAATGAAAATATGACTATGATGATAGAGGAAGAAAAGAGCCTTAAAATGCTTTTTATTTGAAGCTTCTAGCTCAATTTTGAAGGAAGTTACATACATTTTTGTAAATTCAAAACAAATCTTACACGTTTTCAAATGATCTTATTATGTTATACTGTATATTCGTGTTTTTTGGGTACCTGGTTTTTTCTACCTGGTACCGGGGACCAAGTTTGAACCCAGCATGGAGGATTTACTACCCGGTACCCGGTTTTTTCTACAAACCCGAGAGGAGGAGAATAGCCATAGTTCATAGTTGAACTCATAGTTGAACCTCCTCTGCACACCAACTTCGTTTGTCTTAAAATTTCCAACATCTATTATTTGAATACCACACATCAATACACTGTTTTAATCAATATGCAGTACTGGCCCATCAGACACTTTTCCCAAAGCGGGGTGCTGTTTCACAATTTTTTACTGGTAACATCAGAAATGCTCTGATTTCAAGTTCCTTTACTCTATTTTTACAGCTTAATGACTTCAATGTTAGTAGTGAATTTTAGAAACAATGACGCTAATGGTCCACCCATCACTTCAAAACCAAAAGGAGGGAAAACCCCAGAGATCGGAGATGACCTCATAATTACCTCCACCTATGTTTGTCCGAATTTCCAACATCTATTTTCTAACTTCCACACGTCGATGTGATGTTTTAATTGTTACCTGTTGTAGGTTCTCTAAAAAACTTTCCGAATTTCTAAACATGTGTTGTCTTGCTCCAGTTCTCCTGCTGTATGATGCAGAGTCTGAAGAGAGGTGCGGGAAGATAAAGACTGCCATCAAATTCCATCTTGGGTACTCCAATGAAACCACAATCAAAAGACTTCAAGACAACATCATTGAAGGTAAAGGACAAGGTCAATTATTACTTAATTTATAATATCTACATGCACACATATAAACACCTCTGTATGAATATTGAATTGTGGAATTTCAATCAATCAAAAGTATTTGATTTATATTTTTTATATTTTCAGAATTAGACAATGTGACATTCCTTCACACTGCTGTTATCTTAAGTAAAGAGAATATAAGAAAAGAGGCAGATATCTTGAAAAGCTTCCTGGAAAAATGTAAGTCTCATAACTTAAAAAGTTGTTTCTTTGTCTACCCTTACTCAGAAACCCAATAACCTGTAACTTTTTCCCATTTGTGAGTTGAACCATGATATTTGGCAAATCAATGTAACTTTGAATAAGCTTTAAAATGATATATGACAAATACTATGGAGACATTGGTATACGTCTGCCTAGGGGGGGGGGGGCATACTTTAGGGACACCCTGTACAAGTTCTCAGAAATTTAAATCTAACTCTAGATTTGACATTAAAGGTAACCAATTTTTCATTTCAAAATCTTCTAAATTGACATGAAATATGACTCCTACAGTGATCATCAATTTGGTATGTGTTATATACATGTACATGTATGTTTAAATCTTAGCAAAATCTGGTACATAGAACCATATTATGAGACTTGTGCTTACATTTAACTTTTGATCACTCTAATATTGTGTGAAACTAGGTGGTGGTGACATTTTGTCATGTTAATGCCTTGTTTTTTCATCGAGGGATACTTGTTTTAATTGATTGGGTAGCTGGAATATAATTGCCAATACCATAGTTTAATCTCAAACGTAATCTACAAGTTTCAAAATACTGGTAGTTTATTTCTATCACAGGTTTAAAAGTACATTTCACTTTGATAATCTAGCTTAATAAATAAATTTTTACATTTCATACATGATAGATACTATTAAAACAACACCATTAAGTGTATTCTTATTGACTCTTTTATCTCTTACTCAGAGTACAGATGAAGCCTTCTTTTAAAGGAGCATAATGAAAGTATTGGAAATGAAATTATTTTTAATGCTTGTGTTTAAAGGGAATGCGAAGTTTTGTCCCTTAAACTTGATAATAAGTTAGAATAAAGATATATCTTTCAATTCAACTTAGTTTTATTGTTCTATCATTATCCTTTTAATTGTTATTGAGCCCCGGGTTTTGCATATGAACTGGACCACGGAGCTGCCATTTCAACCGTAAAGTGGTTCTTTACGACATTGTTATGACGTCATTGATGCCAGATTGATGCCTTGGCATTCCAAAAGTTTTGTGGCGCCATTTTTGAATCCAAAAATGAATGCCGAGTTGTTGCCATTCCAAAACCAAAGAAATCATTTCAAAGGAACTAAAAGAATACGTATATACCACCCATAATAAAGAACGATTTCAATAGAATATTAACGCCGGCATTTTCGGAATTGCTTTTTACCTATCTAGACATGGAATGCAGGTTAGATTTATTCTTTATTTACACTTGAAACAATCTGGGATTCGTGACTTTTAAACTTTTATTAGGTCTAGCGCTAAATGCGAACAGAGAATGCTAATTCTATGAGGCGAATGCAAACTATTTGAATAAAACATGATAAAATTAATTCAACCAACCCATCTTGAATTTCCAAGAATGCAATGGTTTAATTTGCTAGTCTCATTACAAAAATACGTGTTCGTACTTTAATATTCATTGCATTTATGTTTATCTTTAACACAGGTATTCAAAGAAATTAAAATTTTAAAATTAAATTTTAAAACCGTATTCATTTACTATCATGGATTCTTAGCCTCACGTAACATTTTTGGATTTCTACGGTTGCCTAAGTATTTCTGGCAGTCAGATAATTTTGCAGTCACATTTGCTAAGATAGCCGTACAGCGTATCTTGATTATGAGGAAAAACTACGATTCCCGTACGGCTGATAAATGATGACGCCCGATCAGCGTAGGGTGGCCCTACGACGTGCGAAGTTTTTCTTCAATTGTAACCTATGAAATCCAAGCGCAGCCGCAAGTCGACCGTGAACCCGACGTGCGGCCGTCGTGAGACCTACGGTTTGGCTGCTGCTTGTTGATATCTATGGTGACCACAGGAAAGAAAAGTTATAACTCCGACTCTACGCCTTGTAAAAACTGGATATGTCGTGTACGTAGACAGCAAGGTGACCTTAAGTCGACTGTAGTTTTCCTATGTTTGCCGCAGAAATTTACTGATTTCATGGAAATACGATCGACGTGTGGTCGCATTGAACAAATGTGACTGAAGCTTTTAAAGTTCCACTTATTTTCCGATATAGAAAAACAAAAGGTTGTATGCCATTGAATTGAAAATCAATACTGTAGAACTGTACTTACCACGGATGTTATATAATTAAATTCGGGCTCGAAATCAGGAATTGTTTTTAACAAAAAATAAATATATAATAAAATAAATATTAAACTATTGGCGTACTATCAATACGGCAATTGCCTTATCGTCGTTGAAATGAAATATCGTACTACAATCCCCCATCGTCTCCCCGCATCACTGAATGTTATGAGCCTTTTCTTGTCATGATCCAAGGTGAAATACCATTGAATTTTGAAAAGCTTTTTTTGTCATATCGAATGTTGCTACAGTGATATGATGATTGAAATTGGTCGTTTAACAACTGAGAAAAATTAAACATTACGTATCATTCTTTGAAAATATGTCAGTGGCATGTCCTTGTAAAGCTATTACCAATCTTAATATTTAGGAGATTGACATTTACATACGTATCATTTAGACGACATCGATTTTTCGTTTTTTTGTTTGCGTTTTTCATCAGAATTTAAATGGCTTAACACTTTAGGGAGTTACTGTTTCATTGGATTACTACTTTTTGTTTTCATTCTCCAATATGCCCTATTCATATTTGAATAGAATACTACCGATTGAAGAAATCTACCGTTTATGATTAGGTAAGAAAGCAATTGCGGCAGTATGCCTATTTGCCGAAGTACACCTTAAGGTCAATAATGATGTGCCGTAAATGCTCATCAGCGCATTAATGAACATTTAGCATAGATTTTGATATTTAAATGGTATGTCGTGTATTTACATAAATATGGTAAATGCAACTATTTGTTGGATGCGTTCAGCCTATGATATAACTTACTTATTTTCACCACAAATACGCCAACACATTAGCCACATTAATCTTACTTAAATAAATCCCCATTGATGCACAGTAATGCATTTATGTGTAAATGCCATTTTGTATATTTTAATGCATTTACCTCATTTATTGGTTAAATATACAAGAAAACATTTACAGGATTTGAACAGATTTATCCTTTTTGACTCAGTGTTATTATATAAAATAATTCTAGTGGATATTTTTCAAGTGGAATATAATGGCGTGAGACATAAATAAAATATAACATAACATATAATGCGATGTCTTCCGAATCGCGCAGCCGATATCTCATAAGTTTAGTGATTTTTCTACCTAGCCTATACTATATCACATTGGAGAAAATAAATACAAACATTTTAAAAAATACATTGCAACAATTCAATTTCTATGAAGAATATATTGAAACAACTTTTCCAAATATATGATATGATATGGACATGAACATGAACATACGGCAACAATGTAAAGCGGACAGAAACAGGTAAAATATCAGTGAAATGTGTTCTATTTCTGCGATCCGAGTATGACGTGATTATATAGCGACATTTCCCAGGCATCAGTTTTAAGGCATCAATGACGTCATTGATACATAACAATGGCGGCATCCGCAGCGATCCAGATATGGGTACTTTGAACTTGAATTATATGTTAGTTCATACACGATATGTCCCATGAGTGAGCTGAAGTGATAGATGATGGTTATAAGTAGCCAGCGTGTAAATTAGAACATGAAACTTCGCATTCCCTTTAAGTATTTAAATAAGTTATTGCAAGCCACATTCTTGTTTCAAGAATTTTTGTCTTAAATGCCAAGAGCCATGAGCAGTTTCCCAGTGTTTGTGTATTATTGTATACTACAGTATTTAGAATTTTACAGTTATACTGTTTGTTATACTGTTTGCCTTCTAAGGTGATTTGAATAAGTCCATTTTACATTGCTGTTGTATGAAGAAGTTTTCCTTTAATGTGATGCATTTGATTTGATTTAATTTGATGCATAGGACCTTTAACATTTTCTTTGTTGGGCCCTTTATGTAAAGTTCTATTGGGTCCTTTATGTAGGGTCTTATCACAGCCATTGTGGAATCCTGTTGGTCCACATCTCATACTACTATTAGGCCCTTCTACCTGGTAATAGTACTGACTGAAAATAAAAGTTAGAATAAATATTAACTTTCAGTCACATTTTAAAGTACATATACTGTATGCATCCAAAATATTGTAGAGAAGTTTGTTTTGCTTTGTTTATTTAATTGAAATCAATATTCAATTTTAACAGTATGAGGCATTTCAATAATAATATACAAACATTCGATTAGACATTAAACATGTTAGAGTAGAGTTAAGAAACCATTGAGAAGCCAATCCAAGCAAATTAAACTCTACCTTCTATAAAAATTTATTGTAACGATTTGACAACCATTTTCAATAATGGCACACTATTAATTTTTACCTCAGATGTTTTTCAAAGTCTTGTCCTTTGACAAGGTCTTCATTTGGCCCTACTGGCTTACAGTGTAGCTTGGACACATAAACAGTTTTGGTCTTTTTAGCAATTTGTCTTTTATGGGTTGATTTAGATACAACATTGGATTTCCTGCAGAATGGAAGAAAAGATTATATTGATAACATAGTCTTTTAAGACAGATGCCCTAAGTGGTCCACTGTGTCCTCTTAATATTATCCTTTGAAATTGTAATTATGCATTGTTAAGAACATCCTTTAAATCAGACCCTTTAAGGACCTTAACCATTTTTTTGCATTTATTTATTATACAGGCTTTTAATACAAACCTTTTGAGAAGTCACCTTGTTTACATGCCCCTTAAAAGCCTCCACTTTGGATGGATAATATAATAGGCTCAATTGTATATTTATCTATTGTACTTCTCATTAATTTTTGCTGCTGTTTTAATTTGGCAGATTCGCCAAATTGTTAAAGTCCACCAAATTAAATTGTGGCCATAACTCCTAAATTCTGGGGAATTTGCACTGCATGAAATTTACCACATTTTCTGGTGAACATTTTCTTTCAACAGTTGTTCAAATTTGGCACTTTTGTTCGATAACAACAACAACATGTCCATTCTCAACTAAACTGGTCAAATGAAAGTCAACAGATAGCAACAATGATAAAATTGGCCTCATAAGTGCATCCTTTGAAGTTTGTAAGTTTATCAAATTAAAATGACATTTTTCAATTATAAACCCCGCTTGACATATTCCTTGTCACTCAATCGTTTTTTAATGAGACACATTGGAACTTGGGATTCATAGCCATTCAACCATGCCACAAAAAGTATGTATATTAGTTGTTCAACATGTTCAACTGAGTTAATATTATCGGCATTCAACCTTTAAAAAGTTACATTTGTCTTGATAACATGACTCTGAAGATAATAAAAAGATATACAGCAACAAGTTAGTATATTATGATTTAGAAAGCATCTATGTCCATTAATAAAGTAAATGGAAAGTAAATGGAAGTTACTCTTGAGTTACATAACATCTGTAGTCACATATTGTGTACATGATTCCAAGTTGTTGTTTATCCTATGATCTAGATATACATAGATCTATGCAGATTGAAGGTGACCTGTTTTTTTAATGTTTGCATGTAAACATATCAACCTATTTGCATGAAGTTTGTAGAAATGTTAAATGAAATGGAATAATAAATAACTTTCATCTGACATGCTTATTTAAAAACCAGCCTGACTAAAAATGAAGTAGTGTAGCATCAGAAACGTTAGAAAAGTTTAAATTGTACGATATACTTACGATGGACTTGAAGACATTCTTGTTGTTGTCCTACTTACTTCTACATACCTGTATATACATAAAAACCTGTATATACAATAAAACCTGTGTAGTTTAAACACCTCTGAGACAAACAAAAGTTTTCAGATAAGCAGTAGTTCACATTTCAAGAGGTTTTAACATGGGAGTCAATGGGAGTGTAAAAATTGAGACCAGAAGACTATTTCAATCAGAGAGTTGTTCAGGTTAGAGAGCTATTCGTATATACAGGTTTCACTTTAGTTCAGCTCATGAAAAGGTTATAAGGTGTTAGTGAACTATTTGTGATTATGAAAATTATTTATTAATAAATGGGTTGAATGTTAACCAAATACTAGATAGTAGTCTAAAGTAGTAAAGTGAGTAAAATACAAGGCCAGCCTTACTTGAGTCTATAGCCACCAAAGATCTCTCTATTGGGGTCACTTCGTACTCGTTTGATTATCAAATGCCCATTTTGAATATTATAATCAAAAAATTTGTAAGAATGGAAATTACATTGAAATTAATTTCGCCATTTTTCATGAAAGAATTAAATTTTTGATATAATTTTTTCTAAATTCTATTTGTCATGCCATTTTAACAACACCTAAGAATTTCAGATACTCTACTCTAGATAGTAAATATTACTCTAGATTATAAAATATATGATGATCACCGGTATGTGAACTGATTATTATATGAACATTGATCAAGTACAGTTTACACAGGATGATAATGGCTGGTTTTAGTTGGTGCTGAAGCATACACTTAACTAAGAAATTGACACATTTTATTTTTAGCTTATCCATACAAAAATTGGCCACATCACCAAAATTAACATAATCTTTCTTAAGAAGGTACTGGAGCAAATATTTCAGCTCCAGCATCTTACCAAAAATTATTCTTAAAAAGTAAAAGGAAATGGAAACTCATGGATTTCGAAAACCCGTTTTTATGACACCACCAAAAGTGGTTACATATTGTTATGATCTTCAACTTTTTTTTTATGATGGCGATTGATTGAGCACTCAGCAGTCTATGTTCAGCATCTGTAACAAATGGCGGGTGATGATATTTTGCATGTTAATGCCTTGTTACAGTTTATTACATTCATTCACATGTTAATAATATATGATTTCAATTTTGAATCCTTACCCTTTGATAACATTAGAAAGAAATATGTTTTGCAGATCCAAAGACTTCTGTGGTGACATTTAGTAAATCTGGAGAAGATATATACCGCGATCTAGGAGTATCTAGTATAGCCATAGTTGATGTTAGAAATCAAGGCGACAAGAATGCAGATTTAAGTGGTGTTGCAGAGATAGTAGCACAGAGCTGGAAAGACACAACATGTATGCGATTCAATTTACTTTTCATTATTTTTATCTATGGTTATAATTTGATTGAGAAAGGGCCAAATGCTTCTCATAGCATTATATTCATTGACATAGAGAAAGTTTACATTTGGTGAAAAAGATAAAATAGAATAGAAATACATGAAAATGCATTGTTTCATATACTATAGGGTGGTCCAAAAAAAATTGGAACATTTGATAATTGAACTCAAAATCGTTTTTTCTCTAAAATGCACCAAAATTTTACTGAGTATTGTTCAATCACTTATTTATCTGATGTAAAGTTTATAGGTGCAAACAAATTTTTTAAACAAAAAGAGAATGTTTGATATGACCCCTTTTCTCCTGAATTACAAGTTGCACTGCGTGAAATATGGGATTCCAACTCTTGACACGTCTAGAAACTGGTCTTTACACGCCGGGTTTCTAGACGTGCCAATTATTTACACCTCTTGACACGCGATGAATTCAACTCTTTACACCTCTTGACACGCTCTTGGCACACTGAACAACATAATTATGTGTAAACAACTAACCTAATTACCAATAGCAATACATACAGTATTTTAACGATTGCAAGTATTTTCTCTGATACTTTTAATTGATATATTTTTTAATCATTCTTTCGCAGACTGTTTGGAACAAGTACATGTAGCAAATATTAAACAGACTATTTTGTATGTACGCTGACACATTGACTTATTTAAACATTTTGGCAATTTCATGCCGCCTTTTGAAAATATAAATCAGTTACAGGCAATGCTAATCGACGCATTGATCCTAAGTGAAGGAAATACATATCATGATAAGAAAAAGAAAGGCGTTTCAAGGATAAAACGTGCAATAAACTTTGAAAACACTGATACATCAGGCCTATTTATATATTTATTTTGTATTAGCTTAATATAAAGATAAACTTACTTTTCGATGAGTATTTGGATTTCGGAGTAATTTGTTTCAAGTTAAGTCAATACAAATTATCTCCGACTTAACTTGTGACCATACATATGTTAAATGAGGGGCATTTTAATACACAATTGGGCAAAACAAGCATATTCAATCGAATGTACCATTCTCTCTGCTGTTCTTTCCCAGCCTATCCATAAACAGACAGGTACAAGTTCCCATAGTTTTCGCAACATCTAATTGTATGATCAATTGCTAGACACAGCAAATATACTAATTAATTGTCTGATTGTGATTCGGGAACGTAGGGTTTTTACATAAACAGGATACTTGGCTGTACATAGCCTGAGAACACCGGATTGACCCCCCCCCCCCCCCAATCGACGCCTAGGCGCTGCTTATGTTTTAATAAGAAACATTCCCTTGTCAAGAATTATCGGGATATGAATTGATACAAGGTCAAGTATTCTGCCCCTTTTGTGTGATAAAAATATGTATTTAATTGGTGCTTTAACTTTTTGAACAAAGAAATGAAATAATCGCACTGAATGTCTCAACATAAATCAGTGATGTTTAATTAATAAATGGCACTATTATGTCACTCACGCACTTCATGGACATGGACGGGGGGGGGGGGGGGGTGTGAGTTACCCATTCTAAAATGGTTAAATTTTGTATTAAAGAGTAATCAATAGGTCGTGAACTCCGATTGATAACCAACTGTAGCATACTACTTAATTTGTTTGACTATTGATATTAAAAAGGAGTGAATTTATGATATTCATAGAGGTACATTGTATTGGTATTAATATAGGATCGCGGTTTTATCTTCACATGTTGCCCTTTGTGCAATTCGAAAATGAAATATTTTAATCTATAATTTATATATCATTTGCAAAATAAATGTAATCAAGAGACATGGGGGAGGGGGGGGGGGTTAACGGCCAGAATTTGGAATGAATTTGGGAATTTCAAGGATTGATTCACTTAATGTTGTTCACTGGAGTCGATACACACACCTGCATAACAATCGGAGCCAAACTGACTTAATCTGATATGATAACAAAAGATTAATAACTTAGTCTATGTTTTTGTTTTTATAATTGCGGAAGTGTACCAAAATCACCTTGATTACAGAAGATATCGTCTAGGCTTTAGATTTAATGAATAGATTTTTTGCCCTAGTCTCATTTATAAAACAGGCTATTTGCGTATTTAATTAATATTTGTGACAAAATATTTCAGTTAGACTCAAAATCAAAACGAATTTCTCCATTATAGCCCCCCTCGCAACTGTCCCGAGTCTGCATCTGTTTTTCATGCTTCAGATCCACCTTTGGGATAGAGAGAATAGATGTAGATTTGTAATTTGGGGGGTGGCATTAAATGTGTTCTCATACAAACTAAAATAAACCCCAAAAAGCCATATCAAATGTCCAAACACAAGACCAATGCCATGTCAAACATCCAAATATAGAACCAATGCCATACCCCCGGATACCAAATATCCAGAATATAAGACCAAGGCCATTCGAAATATCGAATGCCCCGAGAAGAAGGCAGATCTTTGAGTAAACAACCTCAAATGAAGGATATGTGTAACAACTAGACCAATGCCCCGGGACCAATGCCGTACCACAATTGAGGGGTAACATATTTTCCACACCGACTCTTATACCAGAAAATGGAAAAATCTGTCTTAAAATGTGGGTCCATTGGCTTGACATACCAAATGTAAAAAAGGTACCCCACCTGAGTCGAGTGTGAACCCCCGGGGTGAATGGTGAACACACGGGGCAAGGAATTCTTCGATTTTGATTCAAGTAATTTTTTTTATAAAATTCATACTCATGTTAATAGCGGACGCCTTGGCCAAATAATCTTTCAAATCATGCACTTTCCAAGTGATTTTGTAGCAAAATTGTGATAATATATGAACCCCTTGGAATTATTCAAAGACGGACCCCCGCCAGCCCATCCCCCATTCTTACCTATGCTAAACACTAAGAAAATATATAGAATGGTATCTTACACTTTTTTCTAAATGTTGATATCCAAAAAACATATCTTTTTGGTTTATCAACACATACCGCTCACAATATAACAAGTATACAGATTGTAACATAGATAAGCGAATTGGGGAAAATTACAATCCCTTTGATCAAATTATTATAAGATTTAATCTCCAGCTGAGGTGCAATCAAAATGTTGATACACATAATTAGCAGTCAGAAAGATGCTCTTACCACTGTAGTTTTCAATATTCCCTTTGTTGTAACATCTTATTTCAAAAGAATGGATATTGATGGTTGTATGGAAGTATTCATATCAAACATTCACATTATAGTTTACAGTGGAATTCCCTCCATAAATGCAACATATTTACCATTTAAGATTTCATATTGGACTTTCCGCATAATGATAAAATGTTGACGATATAGTTTTCGATAAAACCCCAGGGCCGTAGCCAGCTTTCAGTCGGGGGGAGGGGTGATGCAATCACCAAAATATTTTAGGTTTTCAGTCGGGGGGTGCGATCGTGACATAAATGAGGCAAAAAATATTTGTTTTGAATTTTTACGAAAATGATGCAACTTCCTTCAAACCTGAGCTAGAAGCTTCAAGCTTCTTCCTCTACCTTATGGTACCTTTTATTGCTTGTAGGAGGGGGTGCGAACCTATCGCTTCTCCTCGTTACGCTTATAAACCCAATAACGTATTCCCAAGGAATCGACTTTATTAATTTATATGTGAAAAATGAGCTTGCATGTACAAATTGCATCGTATGCAAACCTTCCCCTCACCGACCCGGTCATGTTTATGTCTTTTGAATGATGTCTACCCCTTGATGCATGCATCCTTTAATAAGTGGTGTTAAGAATATTGGTGTAGGCCCTGGTCAATATCTCTAGATACGCAGAGTTTCTAGACCGGCTAAGCACGTCTAAAAATTACTAGAAATTCCACAATTTATACAGTGAAGTAGTAGGAGAAATAGGAATGCTGGATCGGGATGATCAGGGATGATCATCCCTAGGCCATTATATCGATTGAAATACGTTGAAGTGTAATTCCCACCTCGAAAACAGGGGATTCCCCTTTTTTATTTAACCAGTCCTATAGGACTCAGATTTCCACACCCCCACAAACGTAAGGTCGACGTCCGGATTGACATCGAGGTTGACTTTTCCAGAAGCCAGACATTATCCAATGTTCCAGGACTATAACGTTGGTAGGTCGTAGTATGATAACAAGCCATACAATTGTCATTTCTTTACAAATAGCAGGATGATTTTAGATTCATTTAGGAGAGCCATCGGATATATCGATTGAAATACGTTGAAGTGTAAGTATTTATTACTCAAAATTGTTCAATAAATTTAACTTTAACATATTTAACTAGGGGTCAATTCGGTATAATCCTAAACTATCGTAGTATACAGAAAGAGTCCATTTCGTTTCGCTCAAGGGTATTCCCCGTTTTCATCAACTACGTCATCGATGGAATTTCCGAACGTTTTCGTGCCGTCAGAGTTGATACCAACGTTTTTCGAACGTTTAGACGATTTCAGAACGTTTCAACGTTGCCTCATCGATGAGATTTCCCTCAACATCCGGTTAAAACTGGTTGAAATCGTATGATAAAAATGTTCTATAAATTTAACTTACCGGGTCGTGCTATATCTAACATGATCCTTAAATACTGTTCATTTCAAGAGTCCATTTTGTTGTTATACACATTCACAGCTAATTCATAGTTCAACGTGTCTTGTACCGCTATACGATACAATACAATACAATCTAATAGAAACCAGATGTTGACAAGTTGGCTGTGGTTAAGTTCTGGGGCAGACGAGTTAAATCAGTGTAATTATATTTGGGATTATATTACAAGTCAGCTGTATTATTAAAGATATCTGGCTTTGTTTTATTTAGCATGTGAAGCAGGAAACGTTAAAGGTCGCTATATCACTTGGTTTCACATTTGTTTATAAAACAAATCATGGAAAACATGATGATGAATAAGTGATTATTATTCTGAACAATCGATAGTGAACTTGTTCAAGAAATTTTAGATAGTATGCATATGA